GTCAGTTTTTACAAGGAGGTTATCTAGAAGATGGAGCCAGGCTTTTCACGGTGGTGCGTGGGTGGGAGGATGAGGAACAAAGGACTTAAATTGAAACAAGAGACGTTCCAACTGGATATAAGGAGAAACTTATCCATGCTGCAGTCAAGTATTGGAAGAGGTTACCCAGAGCGGTTTTTTCGGTTCTGCAATCTGACTGGATAAAGCCCTGAGCTACCTGGGCTGACCTAAGACCCAGCCCTGCTTTGAATAGGAGATTGGACTAGAGACTTCCTGAGGACCCTTCCAACCTGAATCATCCTATATTTCTTTGGTTCTAAGCGAGATCAACAACTCATCTTAAAGAATAATTTACTCCTTTTTTATTACTTTTTTTACTACTTTTCTGTAATGTGTCAAAATAGCAGTTATTTCTGGGGAACATTCACTTTGGACACATGCTGGAGGTCCCATAAGGCAAGTAGCAAATTGTCACTGGAATTTATAGAAATCATAGTTGATAATTGTTTAATACAAACCATTCTGCTACCAGCAATTGGCTTCTTTTTTATCAACTTTATGAAGAACAAAAAAAATTGATGGTGGGAGGATAAGACTTGGGGCTGGACATCAATGGTTGCCTTCTTATTAGCAACCTGTTCTACATTCATCCTGAGTAGATGTAAAAAAAACTACTGTTATTTGCATTGGCATAACCTTGATTAAACTTAGCATCAGTGCTTGGAGTAGTGAAGCCTGCAGGCCTAAGCTTGAACTTTAACCAAACCTGTGGGATACTGCTGATAGAACAACTGCAGAACCAGCTGGAATCCGCCCTCAAAGATACAGAACACAATGGACAGAGGTATAGGTTAACCTCTGGATAAGATAAGGCACTGTGAAGCAGGAACATAGCAACCATCCTTGGATGGAGACATGAACCAATGAAAAGGGTAGAGACCACCAACTCAGTGAAGAAAACTGGAAGAGACTGTCACTGGCAGGTGGGGAAATAAGACTGTAAGGAGTATAATTAACCTAGAATTTCTTTGTCATGGGTCCCTCTTCGGAGGCCCCCAGCTCGAGCTGAAAGAAACGATCGTGCGAGAGTCTGACTCTGACTAAGTGGTGAATGCCTGGGGACCTTTGTAACAGCAGAGGACTAAGTGTACTACCACCTCCCATCTACTAATCGACCTATAGTATTGAGAGGATGCATTTTGTTCCTAACTTACTGGGAAACTTCTTAAAGCTAAAGAAAATTTTGGAAAAAGCTAAAAAGAATAACATAGAAAAATGTCAACAACTATTAGATATTGTTAAAGAAGACTTTATTAGACAGACAGATATTATTAACCCCAGTAAGAAAGAAAAAAAAAAAGAGGGGGGTATAAGCCTGTCTTGACTTAGTAACAAAGCAAATGAAGCCGTTAGATATTGAAAAGCATAGCAAAGGGGAAAAGGCAAAAGAGTCATCAATATGAACTAAAATTTTTGGATCATAGAAAATCACAGCTGCAAGTCAAAGACATAAAAAAATCCATGATTTGCAGAGCTAGTGTCAGTAAGAAGATGTTTCCAAGTATGTTGGGAACAAAATGAATCCTGTTAACCATTACTAGATAGAGATGGTAGAACTGTTAAATAATGATCTAGAAAAGAAGTTTTCAGTATATGTTTCTATCCAGCATTTAGAAACAAATAAGACTGCGTATTTGTGCTAATGATTTACCATTAGGAAAAAATAAAAGCATTCACAAGGATAACTAGGATAAAGATTTTAAAATTAATATTCTAAATGTTGAGAGGAGCTATTGATGGATTACTTCTAGACCATACGCCAGTCAATATTGTCAGCAATGTGAAAGCAAAACTTATGTTCTATGAAGAAAAAAAAAAAAAGAATGGCTAAATGGGAAATTAAATTACGGAAAGGATTATCATAAGGATCTGTATTGCCTGGTAAATCTATCCCGTTCAAATACACTGTATTTTAATATAGGCACAAGTAGAGTTACTCAAGAATATAGTGTGCAGGTCAGGCCTGCAGAGATGGAGGACGGTATTATGGAATGTGGTGATGGAAATTGAGTTTCCAGCCTAATGTTACGGTACAAGCAAATAACGGGATCCGTGACTATATAACCAGGGACATGGCAAGTAGAAAGAGAAACATTATTTCACCTCTGTGTATGGCTTGGTGAGATTTCTGTGGTAATATTGCATTTGCCTCTGGTGTCCTTATTGTCAAAAGAATGCTGAGAAATGATTTGAGACTGGAGAAAATTCTTTGCCGAGAGGGACTTAAAGAGTGCAATCTGTTTGGCTTATCAAAAAGAAGACTGAAAGGTGGCTATAGTGCTCTTTAATCTAGCACAGAGAGAGAAATAATAAGAATAACTATCTATAAGCTGAGGTCAAACAAATGTGAAGTAGAAATTATACGCATTTTTTAACAGTGGAAGAAAGTAATGGTTGGAATACGCTGCCAACAGAAATGGTACATCCGGTATCTCCTGAGGGCTTCAGTTAAAGAATAGATGCTTTTCTCATATGAATGCTTTAGATGAATGGATAGAATTAATTCTCTTACAGTCTCCAGGACTTTATATTTGTTGTTGTTATTATATAATATTTGAATAATTGTTATTATATAATATTTGAATTATCGTAGCACCTAGAAATGCAAGTCAGGGTCCAGAACCCACCAGCTCCTTAATCACTCTGCAAGACAGAGAGAGAAAACCCCATTCCATCTTTTGAAGAGCTTATACTCCAAAGGAACAGACACCAATAGATGTAGAGTGGCAAAGAGACAACATCACAACTGCAAACTGCTGCTGCTCATCCTGTGCCTCTCTTTGTTTCATAATCTTATGGTTTGGCAGGAGCCCAGCTTACTCTATGGTGTGTGGATGGGCTGGCTTTAGAAACTGAAGTGTAGGCTTGGTACAGGTATGTTTATGCCTCTATCATCTGTCTGTAACTGCAGATGGTTTTGCTGAGTCTGGGACACAGGAGGTTTTCACTAACGTTGCTTGACAACAGAATTGGTCCCATCAATCTGTTTTCCCTCTCTGCTTACCAGTGAATCAACCAACCAGTCAGCCTGTTGCTGTAGTATCTGAATGCAGCCATGCTGCATCTGTTGTTGGACTACTATAAATTATTGTAAGATTAAAGAGTAAAAGGACTGCAGGGTAATTCAGGTGTGAAGGGACCTTTAGAGGTTTGTAGTGCAACCTCCTGCTCAAAGCAGTGTTATCTGTGAGATCAGACTAGGTTGGTCAGGGCTTTGTACATACTTTCTTACTTGTTTTGGAAACTCTAATTTTAGGTCCAGACATGATAGCAGCATTTTTTTAGTCATTGCAAAAATACCATCTGAATTCACCATCTGGATTTTTATTGACACATAGCCCAGTGGAGTCATCCATTCTTGTCATGACATAAACGACAGCCTTGCTCTGGAAATACACCTTATCTTCTGGGCGACTGGTGTTACAAGTTTTGTTCGAGGAAGTAATAGAGAATGAGACATAAGTTTTCCCCAAATTGTATTTTGTATTTCCGAGAAAATGTGAAGCTCTATGTAAATTATACAGAACTTTGAATCTTAACAGATTATGCGAGTGAAATTGGATCCTTCTCAGGGACAGAAGAGACAAACAGGAAATATATTTGGAAAGTCATGTCATAGCAAACCATCTTCTAGTGACTGAGAGTTAGTAAAACAACTACATTAGTAAATTAATCTTTGCAAATTATGTTCAGGGTACATTTTCATAAAATACAGCTATTTTTGAAATAGCCGTACCTGTTGTCTGGGAGCCATGACAGCTGGGTGGACGAATTGAATATGGGAGAACTCACGCATGTAGTTAAAAAGGTGATATATTTTATTCATAGTTTCGAAAGAGTAAATTCAATCTTAGTTATAATCATAAATACAAAATTAACACTATGTATTACTACCGAAAATATGCAAATGATGCAAAATTATAAAAATTATAACTGTAAACTATTATAATTGTACAATGCATAAATAAATATTATTTAATTCTTTAGCACTTTTCATCAATACATCTCAGAATATTTTATGGAGAGAAATGAGAAATAATTCTTATTAGATCAATTTTATGAACAGAATAGGTGAAAGAGAGTTCTATGGTAGAGTAAAGCTTGTTCATGATGGTTTTTGCCTTATGCTCATTTCAGAAGACCAAAGCTTCCTCAGTAAGTGTGGCCTTATAAAAAAAAAAAAAGGCAGAAAGTAATAATTTGTTTCTTGCAGAGTTCACACATGAGGATATTTTGATACTTTCACTTTCACGGCTCAGCTGATACTGGGCGTCTTGCCATATATATAGCTGGCAAATGATTAACCTTTTATTACACAAAAGACTACCAACATTTGAAAAGTTAAAAGAATAAAAGAGCAGGTAAAAATTATACACTACTCAACTGAATATAAATTTCTGCTAACAGCACTTAAAATATACCTCAGTCAGAGAGGTGTCCAATATGACTGTAAAATCGAACATAGGAGAATTTAGTTTTGTTGAAAATAACAGTAGATTTCTAAATTGTTATCACTACTTCAGCCTTTACACTGCTCAAAGGAATTCTGGCTGAAAATAAGTCATAGTTCTTTCTATAGATAGAAAAAAGACTCCACTTGAAAAATGAGAACCCTTTTGAAATATTTGGTCATATTCTGCAAGAGAAATGTGTATAGCTTGGGTCCCAGTGAGCTCGATATGAAAGGATGCGAGCTAGATATGAAAACAGTAACCATGCATTTTTTTGACATTACTCTGAACAGCTGCAGAGTTCGCTGCATGATCCTTTGCAGAAACAGGGCCACAAGTATATATGGAAATAAGGTTGTTTAATATTGTAATGAAATGATTTGAATTGAGTGGATTTGATCCTTAAGACAGGCACCAAGGGGACCACTGTATTGACTAATTTCAATTTCTCCCTAGAAAGAAAACCTCACAAGTCAGCAACAGTTCACATGTGAACTTTAACTTGGAAAATCTATTACTAGAGGTGAAAAGTACAGGACACTTCAGTCTTTGTGTTCACTGTCACAGTATCACGTAAAACTTCCCACCGCAGCCAGTGAGGCAGTATTTTTATGAGCGTGACATCATTTCTCCAAAAATAAGATTAGCTGTCATATAATAACAATGCTGACTCACCATATGACAACAGGCAGCCTGCAGGTAAAGAGTCTTTATATCATTTCAGTCTCCCCACTAATCCATTCTATATAGTATCAAGATGCAAAGGAAACTGAGGAGGAATTAGGTATTCACCACCATAAACACCATGCATATAGCAAACAGTTACATAGTGGAAAACCTGATTAATGAGGGGTAGAAAAATACTGGAAACAACTTTGTGTAGAAAACAAAATTGTTAAAGAACATTTACTGTTAATAGCCTATGTTTTCCATGACACAGATGGGTAGTTCATTATTTTTGTTTTAATTTAAACATGTGTCACAGTTAGCAATATTTTGTGCTTCCGCAGATCTAAAGCTATTGTTGAAGTGCATGTTGCAATCAGTTCTCAAACAATGCTCTCTTTGTGAGTAAAAACAAAAGTAGAATAATTTTGATTTCTTCTCCTGGAAGATTTATACTCTGGAAAACCCATAGTTCCCTTTATAGTTGCAGATGGTCAGTTAAATGCTCCCATCTGGTTATACTTAGAACTTAGTTTTCTCTACGAACAAAACAAAAAGAAAAACTGCTATAAACATAGGTTATCCCATGAGCAACAGAACTAAGCTTAACTTCCTATGGATTTGTGCCCTGAGTCTTCACACTGCAGCGACCTCGGCATCACCTCTTCGTCCCATACGACCTCATTTCCTCCTTCCATTTCCCCTCTCCACTTCCTCCCCCATTTCCTCTTCTCTACCTGCAGTAGTGATTTCGGCTATTTCCCCTCTTTCCTTTGCCCTCTCACTTCAGCTGCCTCTCTCCTCCATGTCCCCTCTCTCCAAGTTGGACAAGAGCACCATAACCTGTGGCTGGCTTGCAGCAGCACATATTTTGCATGTTCTATTTAAGGACTCCATGGCATTCTGCAAATATTAATGAATCAGCAATAACCCTGCTTGGCAAATGTGCATTATTATTCCCATTTTGAATGAGGAAAAGTTGAGGTATAGCTTGGTGAAGTTGATTGTTTATTAAATTCTCAATTTCCGTTAACTCACGCTTATGTTGTTCTTTTCTGGCTGTACATGTTTGATCAGAACAGCTCTCGTTGTCTCATTGACAGAGTTGTCAGAGCGTAGCCAACGCTCATTATCTTATCACAAGCCTCATGATATGTGATAGTTCCCTTGGAACCACAGTTACTGGGGTCAGGTGACGAAAATGGCTTGAGAAATTCACCTTTCATTTATTATAGTAAGTTTCTAGCTTGATAAGCTAGAAAACTCCTGAAAAATGTGATGGCAGAGGACTGAAAATGTTCAGAAAGGGTGAGAATAAAATGAGTTCCTTTTTATTTAAATATGACAAATTTAAAGCATTTGTCTCTTGTGATATCATGGGGTCTGTCTCATGATATGTGAGACTGGACTGCAAAAAGGCAAATCAGTAATGGCTGAATCTGCCCAAGCACAAATTCAATCTCTGTTATAGCTCCTAGGAAAGAGCGTATAATTGGGATTATAATCAAATATGAAGTGTTTTAACGCAAAGAACAGTATACCTTTCAGTCCTGTAGTTTCTGTATTTGATTCTTCTTTCCTTTTCTTTCAAGAAGAGGCTTAAAGGTAGGAGAGGATTTTCTTTTAGCATCCAAAGGATAAGTACAACTAGAGTAAGACAATAACGTTTGCTGAAAGATTGTTACAGTCTGCTGAATACTTGAGTTTACAATAACTCTGGTTATTTCATGCATTATTAAAAAGGGCATCTGTAGCACTGATAAAGCATCTCTTTATATTCATAAAGAACAATAAATTTAATTTGGTATACTTTGAAAATGAAATTAAATTTGTGTTTACTGGAATCCAGCTAATGCTAAGCAGAAAACATTCCTTTACTCGAAATAAAACCAGCAATATTTTGTAAAACCATTCCTTTCTTTCCAGCAAGTTTCTTTGTCATTTTATGAGCAATTAAAAACAGTAATGTTAATGGCTCTGATTAGAATAATCAAAGAGAAATATAAAGGACTACCTCAGATATCAATAGACAATACAATTTTATAGAGTATTTAGATAATAGAGAATGATTCCACTAAAATTTTTACTTTACACTGTTCTACTCTTCCAGTATGTTGCCTTCTTAAATTACAGCAGGTAAAGTTGAAAAGTTAGAATCACAGATTCACAGTTTCTGGCACCTCTGGAGGTCTCCAGTCCCACCCCCTGCTCAAAGCAGGTCCAGTTACATGAGGTTGCTCAAGGCTGTGTCCATTCGGGTTTTGAATAGCTTCAGGGATGTAAATTCCACCACCTCTCTGGGCAACCTGGTCAAGTTTTTGACAACTTTCATGTTAAATTGTTTTTCCTTGTATCAAGTCAGAAATGTCACACATTCTAACTTGTGTCTGTTGCCACTCCTTCTTATCCAGGATGCACCCTGGAGGGTCATCTGCCCTCATCTTCTCTACATCCTCCTATGAGGTGGTGGAAGTCTACAATAAAATCTCCTCTTTGCCTTCTCCTCTGCTGGCTGAACAAACTCAGGTTTTTCAGGTTCTTCTCAAACGTCCTGTGCTCTAGCCCCTTCTCCATCTTGGTGGCCCTTTGCTGAGGTCCCTCTGGTATGTCCATGTCTTCTGCATCCTGGAGGGCCCAGAACTGGACACAGCACTCCAGATGTGGTCTCAGCAGTGCCAAATGGAGAGGAATAATCACTTCCCTTGACCTGCTGGCTACTTTCTTGCTATTACAGCCCTGAACGTAGTTGACTCTGTTTGCAAAGAGGACATGCTGCTGCTTCATTCTAAACTTGTTGTCCCTCAGGACCCTCAAGTCATTTTCTGCAAAACCACTTTCCAGCCAGTCAGCCCTCAGCCTGTCCTGTTGCATAGGGTTATTTCCTTCAGCCCATTTCTCCAGCCTGTCCCAGTCCCTCTGAATAGTAGCCCTGCCCTCCACGATATCAACCGCTCCCTCCAGCAAGATATCATCTGCAGCGTTGCTGAGAGTTAGCACAAAAATAATTTGTTTTATAATATAGTTTCAGTGAGATTTCAGCAGGGCAAACTCAAGCATGTCATTGTTGTAACCGATCTTATATATGATACTTTATGTCAGGTATTAAATTTCAGCAAGAAAACTCATATTCAGCTCTGCTTAAAGCTGAATATCTGCCCTCCAAAATTAAGCCTGTCTTGAAAAACCAATTGCCATGGGTTGAGCTTCTTTTAAAATTATACTTTCCTGCAAATAAACTAGTCACGTGGTGGCAATCAGACAAGGGAAAGGTCAGCTAAGTCTGACCCTTGCCAGTGTGCAATTTTTCTTACATTTGTTTTGCTCTGGCCAATCTATTTTAAGCAATTAAAGGCCAATTCTGTCCACGTCTGTTTATTCCTTATAGACAAAAGTTCTTTGAAGAAGCAGAGAATTTTCTCTGAGTAAAAACATTAGGATTTAAGAACTGACTTTATGCCACTCAGATCACTGACAGGCCTGCCATTCCATGAGGTTAGATTCAGAAATTTTACTCCTAGTTCGCAGCTAGCAAGTTAAAGACAATCAATGGAAGATTTACAGTCAGTAAACAATCTCAATCCCAGGAACTTCATATTTCATGGAATGTAATTATATTCAGAAATAACAGGAAGTACCTCATAGATAATCAATACACTGTAAGTAAGCTAACTGGGACTACTGTGTACAAATCTGATCACTGATATTCGAC